GAATTTCTTCCCTTGAGATCCCTCTGTTTATAACCTTTGACCATTTAATAAGGCAATGGCTCATATAAATTTAAATTATTTCCATATATGTCTTAAAAATAAGACCTTTATCAGAGAAACTTTCTGCAAATATTTTTCCCCAGTTAACTGTTTCCTTTCAGATCCTAGCTTCATTGAATCATTTGTGCAAAAACTTTTTATTTTTTTGGAATTCATATTGTCCATTTTATCTCATGTGATCCTTTCAATTCCTTATTTAGTTGTGAATTCTTCCCCTATCCATAGATCCAAGAGAAATTTTTTTTCCTTGTTCCTGTAATTTTATAAATGACATCACCCTTTATGTTTAAATCACATATTCGTTTGGAACTTATGTTGGTATATGGTGTGAGATGTTGGTTTGTGTCTAGTTTCTGTTGGTCTGCCTTCTAATTTTTTTCAACAGTTTTTGTCAAATAATTATTTAGTTCTTACCCTAGTAACTGGGATCTCTGTATTTATCAAACACTAAATCACTGTGTTCATTTGCTTCCATATATTATATAACTTAATCTGTTCCGTTGATCATCCTTTCTCTTTCTTAACCAGTACCAAATCATTACTGCTTTTAAATGGTCTAAGAACAACTTTTTCCCTTGTACATTTGATTTGAAAAGCATCTTTCAGTCTTTATTTAAAGTGAGACTTCTCTTCTGCCCCTTGGTAATTGGGAAGGTAGGTTCCAGGGTGAGCCAGAAAGGAAGAATATATTTATTACATACCTACTATGTGCCAGGCACTGAGCTAAGTGCTTCACAAGTATCTCATTTGATTCTTCCACCAACCCTGTGAAGTAGGTTCTTTTTCTCTCATTTTGCTGAGGAAACTGAGCTAGATAGTTTAAGTGACTTACCCAGAGTCAGTTTGTGAGTTTCTGAGGTCAGATTTGAACTCGGGTCTTCCTGAAAAGACGTCCAGCTTTCTGTCCTTTATACCAGGGCCTCTTAAACTTTTTCCACTTCAGTGCTTCTTAAACTTCCTTTTTTTTAACCCAAATTTAAGACTTTAAATTTATCTTTATTAAATTTCATCTTAGTAGGTCCAGTTCATTGTTATAGCCCATGGAGGTCCTTTTTGATACTAATTCTGTTTTCCAGTGTGTTAGCCATTCCTTCTAGCTTCATGTTGTTTATAAATTTCATGACACAAATAACACTTATGCCTTCAGCCAAGTAATTGTTAAAAATGTTGAATAGTATAAAGCTGAGTATAAATCTCTGGGACATCCCCTTAGGAACTCCATTCCAAAATGACATGGACCCATTATGACTGCTCTTTGGATTCTGTTGTTAAACATGTACTAACTCTACCAACGATACTGTTATTTAGTGACTAGATAGTCTTGTCTCTGCATCCTAACTACAAGGATAGCATGAGAGTTTGTCAAGTGCTTTACTGAAATTGAAATATTCTATGGTTATATAGTGTTCCTCCAATTTACCAGACTAATAACCATATCAGAAAAAGAAATGAAGCTAAGCTGGCATGATCCATTCTTGAAGAGCCCATCTTGGCTCTTACAGATCACTACTGTCCCTTTCTGGATACTCAGAACCATCCCTTTAATAATGCATTCTACAGTTTTGTCAGGAATTAAGTGAGGCTCATTGCTCTTTGCTTATAGATTCCAAAATTTCTTCCCTCTTTTTGAAAATTGAGACATTTGTCCTCCTGCTGGGGTATCACTTATATTTTGCACAAGTTGTGCAGTGGAAAAGCACTAGATTTAGAGTCAGAGGACCAGACTTAAAATCCTGGTTCTGCTACTGGCTCCCTGGATGACTTTTTGCCAGTCATTTAACCTCTCAGGGCCACATTTATCTAATCTCTAAATGAGGGTATTAGACTAGATAACTTCTAAGTTCACTTTTAATTCTAAAATCTGTAGGGAAATCCTCTACATTTTGGATTGTATTCTAAATGTTCTCCATAACAGTGGCTGATCTTTGGTTAACATACGTCTTCCTGTTTTATTCCTCATTTGATGTTAGTGATCAGAGGATCATCAAACAAAGTTATGTCTTTTGTCTTAACTTTAAATAAATTTTGGATAAGTTTTATATTTCCAGGAGAGATACTTTGTTAGAGGGAGAATCCTTTAAAGAAATATTTTGCTCTACTGAATTAAATGCTTTTTTAATAGTCAAATAATAAACACAATGCAATCTTATACTCATTACACCTTTTAGTCAGTTTTGTGAAGACTAGAGATGTGGTCTTATTTACTGTAGGGAATGATTTAAAGAGGCCTGCCTGAACTCTTAAACCTTCATCAAAGATGTACTCAAAGTGTGGAGATTATTCTCAAGAGAAATGTTATAGTTATGAGAAAGTTGGTGTATATTAGTTGGTAATGATTGTCTTTTTTTTTAGGAGGGGTAATAAAAAGAATTGAATTTTTCTCCCAAGTCTTTGGTATCCTTCCCTCTTTCATATATCATAAAAATTTATCTTTTACAGATCTTTTTTTCAGATTTTACAGATCTCTTTTATGGTCTGTTGTCATTCATTTTGTCATTAAGTGCCCTAGTGATAACTACTTAGTTGGATCTCAAAACAAACTTTCTTCAAAATGATTTTTCCCTCTGCTGCTTCTCACTGTTTTATGAAATGATGATAATGCTGTTAATCTTCCTCTAGTACATTTTACAGACTAGTTTATATTCTAAATTGTTGTTTCCTTTTACTACCATGTTTCTCTGCTTGAAAAAAAGATCAAGTATTTCTTAATTGAGGAAGTTTGTTAGTTTCTAGGTTTTTCTTGTTGGAATTGATTTACATCAGCTGAACTTGTTTGGAAAGTGGTGACAGTCTGTCAGTGTTAATTCTTTTATCCATTTTTCTATTTTTGGATCAACAGCTTGATTCAGAATATCAGACTGGAGTTGCCTCAGTTGTATGCCACATCTCATTTTCTAATTTGAAAGTGATTTTGATCTTTGCTTTAACAAGTCAGTAATCTACCTGATTGTACTCAGATAGCTAATCCAGAAATTATTTCCTACATCTGTAATCAGGCATTTCTTGACTGTTAAAATATAGTCAATTAAAGAGCAAACACTTCTTTGGTGCTTGCTGAGGTTAGCATTTCTAGCTTCTCTCAAGTAAAGGATTTGTAATATTTAGGGGTGAGGTTTATGTGTAGTCTACTGGTCTTTTACTTTTCTTTTTTACTCCTGAGCCATATTTTTCCAATGTATTTTTCATTTTCTTACCATATACCTTTGCTTTGAAGTTACTTAACATTAAATATCCATGCAGATTTAATTTTTAGAGTCCTAATTGAATTCTTAATAGAATTTCTCTATCTTTTTATCTTCTGGAGTGGATTTTGGTATGTAAACTGAAATTATTTTCTTGGTGTTCCTATTTATGTTACTAAGGTCTTCACTTTCTTGCCCACGATTTCATAAGCCCTTACAGTACTATTTAGGATTCCTTTTGGTGACATGTCCCTACATGAATCATCAGAGGTGGCTAGTGGGTCACCAGGTTTGACAAATCTCAGCAAATTCTCTATCACCTCCTGGACATGGTTTCTGAGGAGATATCTGCCTTGTCTGTTGTAAAAAGTCAAATCAAATAGCTGCCTTAGTATATCCCTAAGCAGAGAGTCATAAACTCTTACTATTTCTTCTTCTGGCCTTTCCTGGAAGACTTAGCTCCATTCGCAACTTTTGGATCCATCTTAACATTCCTTGGAGCACAAAAAAACCTGTTCCCTTTTGAAAATGTTCAGCTCTCCTCCTAGGAGAAAAGACTCATATCTATTAACTCCAAATATTCAGTGGTCCTCTTTCTCTTCTCTTTATTACATTTTTTGCCTTCTAAACTCCTAATGCAGGTTGAGAATATTCTCTTTTTCTTAATATCATTTTTATTCTTTGTTTTTATTTTGAAGTATTTATTTCATTCTTTTAATGAATTCATCTGATTACCCTGGAAAGCAGAATGAGAAACCACCTTGTACTTTGTGCACATATATTTCTTGGCATTAGCGAAAGGCATACAGCCTGAAGATCACTTTAGAATTTCCTTTGTCCTTGTGCTACAGGTGAAAATTTCTGTCTTGTTGGTTGTACCTATGACAGATTAACCTGGGGAACTACTGTAGCAAACAACCTGTTGGCCATAGTTGTTCATCTTGTCTTGATGAGTTTTACATTAGGAAAATTTAGGGAATCCCAGACAGAAGTTCTACAACTAACTCTATAGATGGGAAATTTTCCTACAGGATTCTTTAACCACTGTCCTCTTGACAAGGATGGGAACTGGGAATAAACAGTAAAGGGACAATTACAATAATAGAAAAACCACATGTGGATATGATAACATCAATTTAGTACAATATGGAAGAAAAAAACTTTTCCCCCTGCCTGTCTTATAAACATGAATTCCAGATCTCAAAACCTAGAGATTGCTAACATTTTAAGCTCCTCAAGGATAAAAATTGTCTTCTGTAACTTTTCTTTCAAAAAAAAAAAAAGTTTTATTAAAAGCTTAACCATGAACTCCACTGCACCCAACTAAGCTGGCTTAGTGATAATTTAATTTCAGTGCATAAAATATAGTAGTTGTCAGTGATTATATCTAAGTCCTCATGAGTATTTTTTTCCTTTCTGCTTTTTAATGCTCTGTTTAACAGAAATGTCCGTATATGCTTGTTGAATAAATAAATGGTGACAAATAAGATAAAAAAAAATAAACATGTAAATTCTCTCAGTTCCTTTCCCATCTTGGTCAGGGTAATTTTTTTTTCTAGTTTTTCAGTCAAATTAAGTAATGAAGTACTATATAAATTTAGCTATTGTTATTTCCAGCCCTCAAATTTCCCACAAGTCCCGATAGAGTGGTCTTCAAATCAGTAACAACCTAGGGCATACATTTTGGTATTTCCTCCTATATTTTTTCCACTAAGCTTAAGAGGGTATATTATATGAATTCTATCTTTGTCTCAACAGTAGATTGCAATGAGAATAAGGAAGATGATCATCAGCCAGAAAATCCAGAGGATGTAGAACATCATGAAATGTCATCAGGTTACTGTGAAAGGGATGGTTCCCAGATTTTTAAGCAGGCAAAAGGCTATGAGAAGCATCCAGATAGCCATGAAGAAAAAAGACTAAATACCTCAGTCCCACAAGAAAAGAGATTAAAAAGTCTTTTAATTACTGTTGAAAATGATGCCCCATTAGAAGACCTTTCAAAATATGTGGACATGAGTATTCTTGCACTTTCTCAGAATCGAAGAACACGAAGATTCTATACATGTCCACAGTGTGGGAAACACTTTACTGAAAGTTCTTATCTTATTTCCCATCAGAGAACACATACTGGAGAAAAACCTTATGATTGTATTCACTGTGGGAAAAGCTTCAATCATAAAACAAACCTCAATAAACATGAACGAATCCACACTGGAGAGAAACCTTATACTTGTTCTCAATGTGGAAAAAACTTTCGTCAGAATTCTCACCGGAGTCGCCATGAAGTAATTCATGTAAAGGAAAAACTCCTTAAATGTCAAGAATGTGGGAAAAGCTTCTTAGGAGATGAAGAATTCTTGCTTCATCAAGAAACTCATGAAGAAGAGAGGCCCTATAGATGTAGTAGATGTGGGAGAAGATTCAGTCGACAATCAAACTGTACCAGACATGAAAAAGCCCATTTCATACCTAAACCACAAAAGCAAGTGTTGTTGAGTTAATCGATCAGACCTCATTTACCTTGACGTGATTCTCCCTGTGGTGACCCTCTAAATGCTAAGAATGTAAGAAAAATTATTTGAAACTCTGAACTCACATAGTGAAATTTTGTTAATAGTCCAAATGAGATAAATATCCAACCATCACAGCTCAGGCATTATTTACTCTTTGAAGAATGTATAAGCAAAAAAAACTATATGAATGGGCCAAGCCTTTGTATTCAGACAAAGGACTAAGGATAATTTCCATGTAAAGCAGTGCAAAGAGAACTGTAAAGTCTCCAAATCTCTCTTTCAAGGAAAAGCTTCCTCTGTATTTTTCTGTCTATCTACAGGTTTGTCTTAGGAGTGGCCAGAGTAAAGGCTCAGTATGAACCCATTACTAATGTAGTTGTATCCTTCTTTCCTCTACGTGAAAATTGGCATTAAAATATGGCAATATAAAAATGAATCAAGTATAACTGACACATGCTACATACTTGTCAGAGTCTTGGATATAGTGAACCAACAACTCTTATTAGGTCTCTTAAATAAGTAAATGACTAAAAGTTTGAAATTCTAAAAAGAAAGTTCACTTTAGACAAGGAACCACCATGGATTAATGTAGAGGGTCTACAAAGTGGATCACTCCCATTTGGATTACACCTAAGTGCAGTTTCTGGTCCTGTATAGCTTTTACCATTTCAGTACAATATTTGTATTCTGTGACTTATTTTGAATATTCATGTTTTATCAGAAAAATGCCATTTTTCCTCTGATGTGATTAAAAAAAGTTTTCTGCATTCTTATTTTTGTCTGCAACAGGTCTTTTCTTTTCCCATCAGCACCCATCTTAGCATTTCATTATGGAAGTTGAGCTGATAATGAGAGCACAGAAATCTAGTATACAAACTGAAGGTTATGTGTAATGGGAAAACAACTCAGAATACTGATGGTTGGTCTTTAGTGTTATCTTCATATGAGAAGTTGTGAGTGTATATATGATTCAATCAAGTAAATATTTATTGAACACCTACTGTATGCAAGACACTGTCCTGTGTGCTGGGGATATAAAGACAAAATAAAAACAAAACAGTCTGCCCTCATAGAACCTTTATTCCATTGGGGGATACAGCATGTACATAAATATGTAAAAACAAGGTGATTTGAGAAGTGAGAGAACACTAAATTTGGAAGATGATCAGGGAAGACTGCAGAGATAGAGGATTTGGCACCTGACCTGAGTTTTAAGGAAAGATGAGGAATCTAAAGCAAAAGTGAAGAAGGTGAGCTTTCCTGATATGCAGGGTACAGTTTGTGCAAAGGCACAGAGAGAAAAGATAGAGCCATTTATCATCTAGTTTGGTGGAAACTACATGAAGGGGAATAATCTGAAATAAGACTAGAAAGATCAGTTGGGACCAGACTGTGAAGGGACTTCACACCAAGCTGAGGAACTTATATTTTTGTCATAAGAGGCATTAGGAAACCATTAAAGGGTTTTGAATCAGGGAAGTGATATAGTCAAACTTATTTTAGGAATATTATTTTGGCAGATTTGTGAATGATAGATGCTAAAAACCGGAAGCCAAGAAACCAATTAAAAGGCTTTTAGAATAGTTTGGGAAGGAGGTGATTAGGACCTGAATTTGAGAAATTTAGATGGAGATGGTCAAGTGGGAATTGATGCTACAAGTTCAAGAAAGAAATTAGGTGAAGTATATTCACTTGGGTCATTTGAATAGATGATAATTGAACTCCTGGAACCTGATGAGACTATGTTAAAAGGGAGAATGAAGGAAAAGAGAGTAAGGTTGTGGACACAGCCTTGGATGATATCCAGCTTAACTTCAGTCTCTCCTTGTCTTTGTCTTCCCTGCTGCATTCAAATCTCCCAATCCATAAAAAAGCCTCATTTCATCCCACCATCTTTGCTAGAGATCATTCTCTATCTCTCCTTCCATTTTCAGCAAAGCTTTCTGTTTTGTTTTTTTGCTTAGGCAATGGGGTTAAGTGACTTGCCCCAGGTCACACAGCTAGCAAGTGTCAGCAAAGCTTTCTGAAAAAGCAGTCTATCTTTAATTCTTCCTTTCTTCTTTGTAATATGGTTTATAACCTCTTCACTAAACTGAAGCTTCTCTCCCCGAAGTCACCAGTGATCTCTTAATTGCCAGATTTAATAGACACTTCTCAATTCTAATCCTTCTTGGCCTTTCTGCATTTGACACTTGACCACTTCTCCTGAATACTTTTTTCTCTCCAATTTTTCATGGCACAGCTCTTTGATTCTCCTGACTACTCCTTAGTTTCCTTTCCTGGGTTATCATCTAAGTTGGGATGTCCTCCAAATTCTTCCTGGACCTTCTTCTATTTCTTTTCCATACTATTTCATCTGGTGACCTCATCAATTCCTATGGGTTTCATTATTATCCCTATACAGATTACTCTCAGATCTATGTATTCTAAATCTAGCCTATTTCCTTCACTCTAATTCCACATCACAAACTGCCTGTTACACATTTCAAACTGAACATCCCATAGGCATCTCAAACTTAATATTTCTAAAACATCTCATCTCCCCCTTTTCTGTCAGCTAACATACCCCTCTTCCAAGCTTCTTTATTGCTGTCAAAGGCATCACCATCCTTCAGTCACATAGGTTCACAAACTAAATCCTCAGTCTCAATTCATATTCAGTAAATTGTCACATCTTGTCATTTCTAGATCTGTAACATCTCCAGCATCCGTACCCTTTTCTCCACTCTCCACCACCCTAGTTCAAGCTTTAATCCAATCTATTCTTCACAGATGCCAGTGATTATCCTAAAGCATATGTCTAAACAAGTCGCCTTCACTCCACCTCCCAGTAAACTCTGTTGGTTCCCTTTTTTCATGTAGGATCAAATGTAAACTATTTGATATTTGACATTTTTCACAGCCTGGCCCCTTCCTACCTTCTTACAGATTATTCCTCCTTACACTCTTATGTTCTATCCACATTCTGCCTTACAATGTTCTGTTCCCTGTCCTTGTGCCTTGGTATTGGCTGAGTCCACTACCTAGAATGCTTTCCTTCCTTAACTCTGCCTCTTGGAGTCTTTGGTTTCCTTCAGGACATAGCTCAAATATTACTTTCTGTGCAAGGCCTATCCTGATTGCCCTAGGTGCTAGTGCCTTCTCTTCCAAGGTTATCTTGTACATGCTGTCTCCCCCATTAGAATAAAGAACTCCTTAACTGCAGGAACTATTTTGCCTTTTTCTTTATAACCCCACCACTTAATGCCTGGTACATTATAGGTATTCAGTAAATGCTTATTGATTGATTGTTAACTGAAAATTTTTAAAAGATAGCAATGAACTAAAAATGGGGAGAGTTAATATTCCTCTTATAACTTGACCGATGTAACAGAGATAACTATAAAGTTATTACTGCCTTGAAAAAATTTATTGAAAAGCCTGTTTAAATTTCTGATAAAAGTGACATTGTGAAAGATTTCAGCCAAACCCAGCTTCCCTGGGAAATATCTCAGAAAAGATTAAAGAAAATGTTGTAATGCAAAGATTTGATAAGACCAGAGAAAAACTAGTAAGCTCCTCTTTCCAGTCCAGCACTACACAAGAAGATGGCACAGAAGCCCATGGATAGTCTTGTTGGGTAACTTGAAGCCAGTGGGATCTCAGTACTGTCAGAGTTGCAGCAGAGGAAAAAGCCAACACTCAGTAGATGACTTCCCTAGGAGAAGGGGCAGAGGTACATGGGAAGCATATGCTATAGGGTCCTCTAGGATGCCTGAAACCAGTTCCATCTCCAGTGACCTGTTAGATCTTCATGAGAAGGTGAAGACACCTCTTGGTACTTGCCTAGGGAGATTAAATAGGACAAATGCACCTGTGCAGCTTATACTGCAGTAACCATGAGGTCTAAAGCAGTAGTCTCTGATACTGGATTAGGACTGACCTGGGCCACATTAGGATGAAAAGTGGGATCCTAGTAGGTGACTAGGAAAGGAGACAAATGAAATAGAGGCCAGCATACATATTGGGCCAACAGGAAGCAGATGCCAGGGATTGAGGCTGAAGACTGGGCTTGGTCCTCTCTATAGGCTTGGCTCTTTGTCCCACGCCAGGGTTGCAGAAGGAAGACCAGAAACCAGTCACCTCATGGAGAACTATAGTATGGCAATGGCTGTGGTATTGTTATGCATGATAGATAGCACTTTGGCATGTTCACCTTTTCCAAGAATGTGGGTGAGGATAGAACTTGCTCCTGATGTTGAATCCTAATCTAAGAACTGAAGCTAAAGATGTGAGTAAACAGAAGAAAACTTTAAAATGAAGAAATACTATAGAATGAGGAAGATAGCAGATTAGTCACTTCTCCAGTTCCCTTTAACTGTCTAATACTCCCACCAAAAAAGAATTATGCACAAGTGTGTAACGATTATAGTTGAATAAACAGGACAAAGAGAAAACCCTGACCAAGTAAAAATACTTCTGAATTTACACTAGAGAATTCATGTACTTAAAGCAATAACTCAACACATTTTCCTTATCAGCATCCAGACTTGTGGTAGAGACACAGGCTAACACTGGGGGCTTATTAGGAGACCTCCCTCCCTCCACGGCAGGGACTATCAGCACACTCTCTCTGTCCTCTCACTGTAAAATAAGAGGCAGACTGACTCTACCCAGCTTGGGGGATGGCAGGAAAGGGCTGAAAATGTGAAGTCTTCCAGCTGGAGCCCAATCCTAGGTAAGGGAATTTGTAAGACTTCAAGGATTCTTTCCTGAACATCCTCTTCACCTTTTCTCCATCCCACAAAAATCAGTAGATAATGATACAGTCCAACTGAGGAAAGAAAGAAGAGCCCAGAGAGGAATTGGGGGAAAGAATCAGTCTTGCCCTGCCAAGGTGTTCTCAGGGTAGGGAAACAGGCTGGCAAAACCTATATCCCCTGATATGTAGGGGCTGAGGCAGTCTTGTGACCTTGCAAAAGGGAAAGATCCGAAAAGTGATACATGGGGGGAGGTGGAAGCTTTTAAAAGAAAGAAATACAGAAAATTTTTAACAAAAGTGTAAAAGCACAAGCAAATAAATCAACTTAAGAGTATCTTAAGCCAGAAGGAAGGATGAAAACTAAATCCTTAAAGAGGAGTAAACAAATTCCTGTCAACATACAAAATCTTGTGGACTCCCACGAGAGCATGAACAAGAAGAAGAAACTAGTATTGTAGATAGAGTGCTGACCTGGAGACAGGAAGACCTGAGTTCAAATCCAGCCTCAGATACTTAACTAGCTGTATGACCCTGGGCAAATCATTTAAACTGTGTGCCTCAGTTTTCTCAACTATAAAATAGGGATAATAGCACCTATGTTGCAGAGTTGTTGTGAAGTTAAAATTAGATAATACCAGTAAAGCAGCTAAGAAATTAGGAGTAAATATAGTTCAGAATTTATAGCTTTAAATGCAGAATTTAAATACTCAGCAGTTTAGGAGAAGTTGAATTCAGGATTAGGAGTCTAAAGAAGGGAAAGAGATTAACCAGTTTGAAACAAAAAAAAAAAACTGGAGTGGGAGGTTATCTGCCATAAAAGAAGTAAAAGGTAGCAAAGTAAAATACACCCTTAATGTGATTTGACCTAGAAGAAAGGTTGCATAGGGATAGCTTAAGTATCAAAGATCTCCCAAAAGAACATGACAAAAAAATGAACACCACAATGTATCAAATAATGCAAGAAAACTTTCCAGAATTTCTGAATACAGAAAACAGAAACACCAGTTTCAAGAATTAGGTTGTCTTCAGAAA